TATGTGGGGTCCATGACTGGCTCCTCATTGTCTGCACACCCTTGGCGCATATAATTTTGTGGTGGGTAAGATGGAGAGTGCGGAACAGGTTGACAACAAGAATGCAAGTGACACCTTCAAATACATTCTTTGTATATTTTCCTGAATAATAAATATATACTAAACATTATAAATATATGTAACTTACTTATTTTTAATAATAAGACTTCTTCTATCTTGGTCTATGCTTTATTTACACAGTATAAATAAATGAATAAAAATCATTTTAACATGATAACATAAAAAATCAAGTTTCATATTGAAGCCAAAAATCTTAGATATATTATTGTTTATAAACTATTATGAATTACTTTTAATTTTTTTTAGATAACTTGGTCATCTTTCAAGTTTAGTCTATCAAGTAAAATAGTCTAATTTGTCTTAAGTCTGTAATTGAATCTAATTAAAAATCACAATCTTGTAAGAATTACCATAGATATTAATTTTGACATTTTTCATTATTTTGAATCTTTAAACAATAAAAACATAGCATGCATTTAAATTAAATATTATAAGAAAATATTTAAATATTTATAGTACATTTTTTTCTTTCAATATTGATATTTATACCAAATTTACTATTTAAAAATAAATTCTATTTTTCTTATTTATTTAATTTATATTATTAAAAGATATTAATATATTAATACTTTTTTAAGAACTTATATTGTAGAATCAAGCTATTATAAGAAAAATTGCTAAAAAAATTATAACTTGGATTTATTTTTTGTTACATTTGTAAAATAACAAGTACTTTTTAGATAGTTAGATTTATTTGTTCTTTACAAATATTTTTTAAAACATGTAGATACATCTTTGCTAAATGCATCTTTTATAGTTATTGTGGCATAGTTAGTATTTTTTTATAAAACAAATTGATGCTATGTTTTTTATAGAAATATGTTTATTGGTTAGGTTTTTGAAATATATCTATATATATATATATATATATATATATATATTGCTATTATAATCTAGTCAATGTTCATTTATTGATCAAATGAATTTGCACCTTTCTTGTAATTTAGATATTTTTGTAAGTTGTCTTTTATTTTTTTGGCCATTGTCAATGTCTCTATTAAAGTTGTATAAGATATTCTAATGGTTTCTATACAAAAATACATAACAAAAAACTTCACTAAATTTGTTCTAAGCAAAGAATGAATAGAAAATATTTTAGATTGTACATCTCAAAACATTACGTACCAATTACCAAACTTCAAAATAACAGCTCTTTATATGACATGATTACATATGTAGATATTTAATATAAGTTATGATATTTAGAATTGAATGGTTTGATAAAAAAAAATTAATAGTTATTAATTTCAAATAAAATTATAAAATTATTAGATATTGACATCTATATTTTAATAACACCTAAATAATATTAAGTAAAAAATTTTAGTTTCTTATTTTGACTTAAGAAATGAATAAGATTATGATATTTTCCTATTCTTCTTTATGCATTGTGATTTGTAGATGTATAATCAAAGACACAAGACAATAGTTAATTATTCAACTTGTATAAATTTATAATTATACCAACTTATAAAGTAGTGACAACCAACTAAAGTTGTAATAATTTTTCCATACTATATAGTTTTTGGTGGTAGAGCCTTAACAAATTTGACATTTTTTTATTTTGACTTACATTTTCATTGAAATAGTTATACTTTGGTCTAAAAAGATATAGTGTTATCTTAAAAACATTATTTAGCTAATCAAAAAAATAAAATTTTATTCTTTAAAGTAATATGTTAAAAAATACAAACTAAAATATAGTTAACTATTGAAGCCTATACTTTTTTAACTTCCTAAAAATATCTTAAAAAAGAGATAAAGTGGTATTATAATTTTTTTTCAATTTACTATTTTAAAAATATAATATAAGATTTTATAGATAATTTTTATTTCTAAAATTATATAGAATAAAAATAAAAATAATTCTAATTAAAGCAAGATATCATATTTTTATTAAAATTTGATAAGTTTTAATGATTAGATTATATAATAAAATAAAAAATAATTTTTATTTTATATTATTTTATGTAATCTCCTTTATTATTCATTAAAATTATTTATAATGATGTTTAACTAATACTAAAATAAAAATGGTTCATTTTTTTTAATTTTACCTTAAAATTCTTCCATTAAAATTATTTTATAATAAAATGATTTTATAAAAATTAATTTTTATAATAGTTTAGAATAACTAAAAAAATGATAATTTATCAAATAAAAAATAATTATGCCATTAAGTACTAACTTTTGGATTTATATTGCATTTCTTAACTTTTTTTTCTATACAAAGAGAAGCTAACCTTGATACTTATTTAAAAATAATAGGTAAGATTCATAAATAAAATAATTTATTGTGGTTGTAAAAAAAATTGAAATAAAAAAAATCTAAAATGATATTTATTTCAAATTTTAGAAAGACATAAGTTCAACTTTTTGTTCTTTAATGATAGATTTTATTGTAGACAGAGATGCTAGAAGTTAAACAATAGGATCAAGAATAAAGTCACAATTAAAGCTGATAGGGAAAAAATTTACATTACAAATGGTACTTAGTGACAAATGTTGTAATAGACCTAAACTATTAGTTCAAAGTCACTAGTAAAAATGATAAAACATTATTTTTTTACTTTTTCAAAGTCACCACATGAAGATGGTTTCAATTGCATGCAAGAATATTTAAAAAGTGTAAACAAGTTTAAAGAACATCATGCTAACTACATTGCTGATTTTTAGTATGCAATAATACTGAAAATACATGTGTTTATATGCATATATATTCATCAGTTGTATTATATACATTTAATAGCTTACAAATTAAATGAATAAGTCATGTTGAAGATGTTTTGTTGAAAAGTGCCCTTAAAGTTAATGACATTGTCTCAATAAAACCTAAGATCTTTTGAATTGGATTTGTGACAATGTTTTAGTGGCCAATTTGGTGAAAAGAGGTTTATTGAAGGGTGGAAATCCATCTTTCTATTTGGTAATTCTTCTCCTACTTTGTTTCTTGGAGTTGAAGGTTGATTTTCTTGAGGAGTTGATTCATTTGGTGTTGTGCTTCCATCAAGACCAACTTCATTTGAAGTGGGCTTCAAGGTTTCAATAGTGTTTAGAGGAATGAGGACAAATTGGATAACATGATAGTCTACTTTTGAAATTGTTTCAATTCTATTTGTGAGTGGGGTTTAATCTAATCATTGTACTTAGCCCTTTAGGGCAGCCTTTATATATATTTGAGATCATTTGGAAAATTTGTGCATTCTTGTATTCCATTTGCAGCCATGGACCCCATGTTCTCCCGAGGAGACTCTTTTCCTTTACACCATGTTACATTGAGTTTGTGACAAGAGCTTCGGTGGTTTGCAAGTGTCTTTATTTTTTAATGTACATGCAATAGAATATTGAGAGCCATTCCAATAATAATGAAAGAATTCCTTGACCATGAAGAAATGCAGTGTCTGTAGACCCAGGTGGAGAAGGCAAGCTTATGTAAATAGGTATGTTACAAGACAATTAAGCTGGATATTAGAAGCAAAAAAGAAATCCTACGCACCAGGGAGTATGATAGTGCAGCCACTGAAGCAAAAGGTCATATTAAAACTCAAGAATCTAAAGTCCCTACCAGCCTGCAAAACAGTTTGCAGTTCAGTTTGTCAGATTTATATAGTTCCCATCACAAAACAGAAGTATAAGTAAGTGTCAGATATGAAGAAGCTGGGAAGCACCAAACATTACCTGTAGAGTTCCTTGTCAAAGTTGGAGGGACATGAAATTGTGCTGACTATGAAAAGTAATATTATTCCTCGTATCTAGACGATAATTAAACAAATTTAACACAATTAAGTATTTTTACTTCAAGAGCGGCACATGGATGTGAAGATGCAAAGCCAAAATCATGCAAAAGCATAGAATATTGTAATTTTCCTTGTTTTTATTCTTCCTGGGGCCTTCAAACAGACAAAGTACCCTCAAATCCAAAATCATGGTTTGATCAAATTGTGTTTATAACTTAAAACAAATTAAAGCAGTAATAGACATCAAACTTGTGATATGATTGGAGTGTCTTTGGTAAAGATTTGGGGACAAATCCAGGGTATAGAAGGGGTATATAAATTGATTCAAATAAATTTTGGCTATTTATTTGTAAATTTTTAAATTAGATGTTTTATCATCAATTATTTCTAAATTTTTTATTATTTAAACAAGGTCTATTTTTCTTTTTATTAAAAATGTGCTCTTTCTTGGAAGTGTTTTTTCAATTTGTATTTTAATTATAACTTTTTAAACTGTTATATTCATATGAAGATATTTTATTAAATTTTAAAAACATTCTTCTAAAAGATTTTTATTTTAAGTTATATATGTTTTTATGATACATATTTTTATATTTTTATTTTTTTATGTCTAAGTAAGTTATAATTTCAGTTAATAACAGTATGATTTCTTTTGAATTCAATCTAGTATGTATATTTGTACATGTAACTATAAAAATATACACAAAACATATAATAATATTTATTTATTTACTAAATTTTAATGTATTTCTTCATAAAATCAACTAAAATAATTTATTAAGATATTAGCTAAAATATCACTTATAGTGAACCTTTTGGTTTTGAAATATCTTTATGATTTTTCAAGTAATTTTTTTGCATATGCTAGTTTTATATCAATTTTTTCAATAAACACAACTTGTCAATTTTTAAAGTATGTCGACTCTTAAGTATGAATAAATATGAAAAAAAATATTTTTATGTTTTTTGCAAGAGAAAAAGGGAAGCACAGCGTCATGAATTCGCACATCACGTGGTGGACAATGGCCAGCAGCAGAAGCGGCCGCGTTGGGGGATGATTCAGCCACACTCCCCTTTGTCGATGTGAAGTCCACCCACTTGCAACAAAAGATATCTACAATCCCACACTGTCGGTATTCAGACCTGCTGCTACTGCTGCTAGTTTTTATTGTTCTTTTTTCTTTTTCTTTTAGCTGCAGCAATCTGAGCTCCGCATTTGTGTCGTGTCTCATGTCTTTTTGACGATGCTAATAGTGGTAGTAGTTGCTGTGATAGCTGCGAGCTCTGGTTAGTGGCTTGTCAAACAGCTGTTTTTTTATATTACATACATGTATGTATATTTATTTAACTGGTGCAGAGCCTCCCGGGTTGAGTGATTGTGTGCTAGCCCCAGTGGATCGGATCGCCTCCTCTGCTCAGTGGGTGGTCTTTTTCTGAGTCGACGTTAGAAACTCCTCGATTTTGGAGTAGTAGGGGGAGGGGGGAGTTTGGTTATCTGAGAGTGTAGGGTCTATAGACTGGAGCATCGTCTCGAGAGATGATTGGTGGTGGCGGTGGAGTTCGGCTCAAAGCTATTGAGGAGGTTCGTAGTTCAAGCACGCGAGAGAGAATCTCGTGGTGATATGAAGGTGAGAGCTGCGGTGTTGGTTTGGGGAAAAAAAAGAGATTTTGATGTGCATGGTGATTTCTCTGTGTGGCAGATGGGTGATCGAATTCGCTGCCATCAATTTTATTTTATTTTTTATTTTAATAGGTTTCGGTGCTTGGTTGGGGTTTGTGGAGTGGGTAGCGACGAGGGAGTTGGGAGGAGTTGCGATTCCAGGGGCCAAATTTCACGCCGGGGGTCTTGATTTGCAGGACGGTGGTAGTTGACGCTGATATCGGTGTTGTTGCTACTTCGGATTGCAGAACTAGGTCATTTCGTCGCTGTGGGTTGTCTTGGCGTATTTCGCAGCTGCTTGTTGTGAAACCACTCTAGAAAAAGGTTAAATGGTTCCCATCGGGTGGGGAGCTGTGTTTCTGGGCCTCCTTAGTCTCGTGCTTGAATTGGCTGCGGCCTCGGAAGGGTTGACGATTGGAAGGACTGGTGGCACCGTGCTTGCGAGTAGGATCGATTCTCGAAGGAGCTTGCACGAGGAAAATGTGACTTGCCCTTTGGATTTCTCATTCTTGAAGAAGTTTCCATGGATCAGGGATGTTTGCAACGAGGGAGCAAAAACGCCGGGCTGCTGCACCGCAGCTTTGGCAGGCATGGGGCTGGGAATGGCCAAATATTTGAAGGAGACGGAGCTCTTTCATCTTCATGATCTGCCCACATCAAATGCATGCTTGAGTTCCTTCCGCATTAACCTGCGTCGAATCGGGTTGCAACGTGACATTGTCCAAGATTGCTTCGAGCAGCAACGAACTCTGGACAACTACAGCGCCTACTCGTTCCTTTACAATCCTCATGAGTGCCAAGGCATCTATACTGTAAAAGAATTCCGAAGTGTGCAAGCAGCTGCTGGTTCTATGTCGATGGATACCTCTTGCCAAGGTACTTTGTCTGTAGGCCACTGCGGTCCTTGTGTGGAAGATATGATGATCGCAGTAGACAAGATGGGAACTTTAAATTCCTCGACAGGGACCAACTGCTTTGATTATGTAATAGTCTATGTAGCTGGAATTGTTAACAATGACGGCCCCTGGGGGGTCCAGACTGCTCGATGCCTCTTCGGGGCTGTGGTTGAAAGTTCAAGCCAAAAGGGGAGGCACATGGGTGTGTACATCGGCTTCGGTGTTGGAATTGCGGTTTTCATCCTGATAATCCTTTGCGGGCTAATCTTCTTTGCCAGGCAGCACCGCAAAGAAACTGCCATAAATCGTGAGTTCGTGACTCGAAACAACTGTATGTTGCAATCCAATGGCATAACTCCAGTGTGGTTCGAATGGTCCAATATCAGATCCGCTACTCGAAATTTCTCACGTGATCGTCTCCTAGGTGGGGGCAGCTATGGGAGCGTGTACAAAGCCACGTTCAAGGACGGCCGCACCGTGGCCGTGAAACAGTTCAGGAACTGCACTCCCGATGGGGACCCTGGATTTCTGAACGAAGTAGAGGCTCTAATCAAATTGAAGCACAGGAATCTCGTCAATCTCCAGGGCTGTTGTATTGCAAGCAGCCGACGTTTCGGCCATCAGCGTCTCCTAGTATATAACTACATGAGCAATCGCAGCTTGGCCGACTATCTCTTCAATCCCTTCAACCCCGTCCTTTCCTGGGAGCAACGACAGAACATCGCCATCGGCGTGGCGCAAGGCCTCGCCTACTTGCACACTGATACTGAGCCCCAGATCATACATCGTGACATTAAATCTTCCAACATCCTCCTCGACGAGAACTTAGATGCTCATGTCGCAGACTTTGGCCTCGCAAAACTAGCTTCCGAAGAAAATTCGCTTCAGACCTCCCACCTCAAAGGCACACTAGGCTACGTCGCACCGGAATATGGTTTGTATGGGCAGTTGACGGAGAAAAGTGACGTCTACAGCTTCGGCGTGTGTTTGCTAGAGCTCCTCAGCGGCCGCCCTGCACTCTTGATAGATCCTAAAAAAACTGAGCAGAATGTGGAAACTCCTGACCCTAACTACTTTATCACCGAGTGGGCGTGGTCTCTGATTGAAAGAGACTGCGCCATCGATGTCATAGACTCCAGGATCCGCGTCACAAGAAACCACCATTCTAGTATGATGATGAAGAGGTATTTGATGGTGGCGATGTTGTGTGCTCATGTTATGGTGTCTATGCGGCCGACAATGCGTGAGGTATTGCGCATGCTAGAAGGCCATTCTGAGGTCCCATTTGCCTCTGTCTTAGAACGTCCTCTTCTACCTCTGTCCTGTAAAGCCTCTGATCTTGCAAAACTAGGACACTACGAAGCATTGGAGTGGCCGGCAAGCCACAAGAATGCACCAAGCTAGTGCAAATATTTTCCTCAGTTCTGGGTCTTCGAAAATATTGGAGAGTTGATATCTTTGTGCACAAGTGTGCACAGATGGACAGAAACCATCAGCATTGAACTGTCTGCAAAGGCTTTTTTTCATACTGTGATAATGTGGAACTGCAATTAGAGCGAAGATCACATTGCAATATTGCGCTGCAGATGTTGGTTCTCTTCACAAGATGGATACGTTCTTGGATCTACTCACTAAAATACATGCGTTGATGTGTAGGACCTTGCTGATAATTAGCATCCCCAAGTCCCAAGTGAAGAGTTTGCTTTGTAAGATTCATAATGTTAATACACATCTGGGACTTGTATTTTTGAGAGACTCTGTTTTTGTTGTCTTTTTTCACATGAATTGTTGAAACTGTTTTTGTTTGATTGTTAGCTTGTGTGATTGTTTCTTTATTGAATGAATTGAACAAAAAGATCAGGAGAATTTAATCATAGATTGGTGATGTGGTTGTATTGCTTGGAACCAAAGAAGGGAATCATTGCATTGCATTAGTTTCAATTGCAAGCTTTATATGGATGTATAGTTTGTATTCATGTATTTTCACATTCTATGATGTTGCTAGATATTTCTCTTTTGAATTTTAAAAAAAGATAAATATGCTAGTTATTTTAAAATATATATATATATATATTGAAGAAGTTCAATAATTATTTTTGACAATTCATGAGTTTAATTTTTTTTTATCTAAAATAATTGATAATGCTAAATATATCTTCTGTAAATAAATTTAAAAAATAAATAATAAGTAGAATGACGAAATTAAATAACCTTAAAGTTCTAAACAAGCTTATATCACAAATCAAAAGATCAATTCCAAATGATAATATAAAATATTTAAAAGATAAAGTTGAATAGAAATTTATTTTTACAACCTCTATTATAGCTAAAAAATTTATTTTCTAATACATGTATTTATATATATATATATATATATATATATATATATATAAATTACAAGAATCTTGAATTATTGTTTAATTGCAATAGTTTATAAAATAAATTTAGTTAATATGTTTATGTATTATACAATACAAGCACATATAGATATATATGTTTATATATAGAAGTATGAGTGTGTATATTTTAAAATTATGTTATAAATTTTTAAGTAATTGGAAAATAAAAGCAACATATTTTTGTTTGATATCATTCTTAAGAAATCAAAGTTCTAAAGCATTCACGAACACTCAACATTTTGTTTGTAGTTAAATCTAAATATTGATAGTTTTTGTTCAAACTGTGTAATTTTTTATTTTTTTAGATCAATATTTTTTTAAAAAAAAGCGTTTTTAAGTTGAATTTTCTTGTATCAAGTTTTTAAAACTATGATAGAAATGGTCAAGTATTTAGTATTCTAATAAGTTTAAATCATGATACTAATATTAATTAATTTTGTAATAACTATTTAAAGATTTATTAATGAAGTAAAGCTTCTAATTGTTTGTTTTAATAGTTTTTTATTTTTTTAAAATCAATTATCTTTCTTTATTTATTTTAAAAAAGATTTATAAGATTATTTAAGTCTTATATGTTGCAATTTTTATAACTAAAATGCATGCATCTATATTTAAATGCTTAAATTACTAGACAGCACATCTGAATAGTCTTTTACATTAGCAAGTTTTGTAAAAATTATTTTTATGTATGCCAAGAAGTTATGGAATTTTTTTAAGACCTATACAAGGTTAAATATTAATCTCTTACAAAATCATGACATATAAATTATAAGATAGAACTATAATTTGATATTTAGATGATATGATTGAATCTTTTTTTTATCATAGCAAACCATGGAATAATTAACCAAGTTATTTAAACTTCCATTCAAATAAACAAATCCAATAATATATTTTTATCCAAATCATATGTTGAAAAGTATTTTTTTTAATCACATTTTTTTTTTTCAAATCAATGCACAACATCAACCATCAAAGATGTTCTTGCTGTGAGTGAGTTTTCTTTATTTAGTAAATCCAACCACCACCTACAAAATTTCAATAAACTACTTTTTGATTATGCAAATAGAATCATAAACAATATTTCACAAGTATAACTATATATATATATATATATATATAAATAAAAGCTAATATAGTTAAACAATACTTGTACTTGATAGCATGATTATTGTAATCAATTAGAATTCTATTTGCTGTTTTTTGTTTCTCTTTTGAGACAAGGTTAATTTTTTCCCCCCTCCAATTGTTTGTGAAGTCTATTGCAAGAAAAAAAGTAAGAATTTGTGATTTGTGGTGCTCTCTTTAGTGGTGCATTGATGAAACGTGAGTAATATAACCTCCATTGCATCCCAAATACTATTGCTCAAGACTAATCCTCAAGGAATTCTACATTACCTTCAAAGAATCTATTGTCTTGTACACTCATTCAAACAAGATTGGATCTAAAGTCTGCTAAACCAGCCCTATTCTCCTTCAATCTGTGGATGAGTTCGACATTGCTACCCTCAACACGAACTCACTATGTGCTACACTATCCTGCGCGCTGTGTATGCTGGAACTTCGCTTTGAACAAAGCAATGCTGGCAAGTGTCGTTGCATTTCTCACATCATGTTGCCATTTCAATGCAATTACATACTCTGCTGAGGCTGCTTCACAAAACAGTCACGACCCCAGATTGTGTCAGGACCTCACCTTAAATTTGATGGTCCTACGGAAACACTCTTGACAGTTTTAAGAATGCTAAATTCTTTCAAGCCACAAATTAACATTAGTTTAGTCTTCATAGTTGTTAGGTGAAGTTGACGAACCTTTCAAGCGGAAGGAGTATGACATGTGAAGAGGTATTATTAATTCAGTCTGCACAACTGACCTCGAGGTGGGAGTCCGATTGTGTGGAAAGTGTCGGCGGATCCACTGCTGACTGTCGGAGATATACTGCGGCAGTTTATCTCCGACAGTCTGCGTCGGTGAATTGAGTCTCAAGGCATATCTGTACAAATTAGGATTTATACGCGTTGGCGCACGCTGAAGAATGATGCCCGTGCACATAAAATTCATGACCGGAACATGGACACGCATTGCTTTGCAGTTTGCAAGTGTGTGGGCGTGGGAGAGCTGCCACCCAAAGCCGACTTGAGCGAAGGCGCCTCGATGTGTTTGTTTCTTGCCTGAGCTAGATTGAGGCGCTGGAGTTGGAGGTGGGGTGGTTTGGATCGGGGAATGTGGTGGCCACGGGCTGCCGTTCTGATTTTGGAGTGTTTGCTTGCGAGAGTGCCGGTGGTGACATGGCTGCGGTTGCTGAGATTCTGTCAGCCCAACCAGATGTGCAGCTGCCTGATGTGCAAATAGATTTCAGCGGGGGTTCGAGGTCGGGTGAAAATGCTGACCCTGGGAATGACACCGAACGATGTGCGAGAAACTTGGAGGAGTTGAACAATGGTGAATACCCTGAATTGAAAACTGCGTACGAATATTGGCAGCAAATTCGTCGTGAAAAATCAAGTAGTATCGATCGGTTACAGTCGGCTAAAAGGGCGGTTCGGAACGAGCTTATCCAAGTTATTGGATTTGGTCTAGTCTTCATAGGCGTGACTTACACAGCTGCGTCGCAGGCGTCTATGCTCTGGTGCCAGAATTGGTATCTTTCACTTCTGCTACTCAATTTACTGTTGTCCCTAACCTTATTTGCATTTTACCAGAAGAGAAGAGACTTCATGCGGTGGACGAAGAGGACTTTCCAGATCAAAAGCGACACAAAGGTACTTCACTCCTCAACCGAATGTTGGGATAGGTATATAGTATTCGTAGAAACAATGCGTGAGCCCAAGGATGATCTGGACAGCGGCATCCTTGAGAATGCGTCAAAGTCGCTATTGAAGGAAGAAATTTTCGTTTGCCTTAAATTGATGTGTAACAATTGCCATGCAGCAACCTGTACTGCTTCCGCGAAAGCTTGACGCCAATGGATTTGCTGAGATGTCAGAATTTCTCAGTTTGGACGAAATTTACTTGTGAGTGCAGGCTTTGAAAAGTTGGGTATCTAATGTGGAGAAATCGGGCCTAAAGACTTTAATTTCGCCCAACTCGCCGGTGATTCAAAATGTCGCATTCACACCAAATCCTCTGCAGCTTTCAAGTTAAAAATATTTGCAGTATTCCTTGCGATTCTTGTTCCTTGTTACTTTTTCACACATTCCATTATATCAATTCTCTGCGATCCAAGTCCTATAACGCAGAGAATTTCCAGCAACAGAAAGTATCGTGCATCCGATCCCCGAAATCCCAGTAAGCTCCTTCCTCTCCATTCACACAAGTCGAACACTTCCAGATTTGTAGAAGTTCGGTTTGCTGGGATATATATAAATTGGGTCTAGGTCTTGGCTGTATAGCGGATTAGTACATTATGAAATCTTCTCAGGGTTAATCCTGCCCCGTAAGTTGTGACCATGAGCTCCACTCAGATCATCAATAACCACCAAGACACTGAACCTCAAGGTTGGCAACAGCCTCGTGTTTACGGATTTGAGAGTGTTGGAGCCGGGCTAGTATTACGAAGTGCACGTTGATCCAATGCCATGTACCAAGAGTGTTATATGAACCAGGATTGCAACGGCAGGTTTCTATTAATGGGCTCCGATGACTGCATTGAGAACAAGTCGATCACGATCGAGGAAGAGTAGAACGGCAGCTGCACTCTTCAGAAGCAGCCCAGGGCAGCGAATGCTAATCGAACTGGTTCACCAATTATGGTAGGTCAGTCGACAGGTCTTCCAGACTTTCAGGTCTGATGAAGTTCAATAATTTCAGGCTGTAACTAGAACGTGTGTTATCGAATGGGATGCATTGGTATCGAGGTGTAAGTGTCGGTTCTCGTGGTTAGGTCCGACATTTTGGACCCCGAGTTCTTAAAACCTGGCGCACCGAAACCCGACACGATAGTTTGTGTGAGGTGGAGTAATCACAGTGGAGCATGTCTCTTCACCGTTGGCTTGAGACGCACACGACTGCGAGTCAAGCGAAAGGCGCATGCGCTCTCCAGTTAAATCTGAAGCTGTTTGTTGAAGCCTTTCTAAACGTGAACCTGTATTCACTTTGAAAAGTCGTGAGTGAAAAAATCATAACAACATTTTTGATGTGAAAATTGCAATGTATTGGACATGTTCATCGAGTCCCAACCAAAGGAGAGGGATTATGCGGAGATTCAACACGCGTTGGAACAGAGTGGTTGCAAATGACGACATAGTCTCGAGTAGGATTCCCCGTGATGCCCCAAATCGTGGACACCACGTATCACCACATCAGGATTGCTTGCAACACTGAAGGACACGCGTTCCTGATAGACATCGCAGTCTCTGATTGTGGCCGGAAGAGCCGAATGTGCCCGCAAGCAATCGCTCGGCCTGTTTCCTCCACCTGCACAACAGCAGACATGACATGGAAATGTGACCAATTCACTTTCTAAGGTTAGTCTTGGTCTGCAAGGCAAGGAGCTTACAGTGACTTCAGCTCGCATATGCAGGAGCACAGCGCACAAATGGCAGAGCAATCAAGCAACGCAGAGAACCCATAACATAAGTGTGTGTATTTATAATTTCGTAGTCAGCATACAGATGGAGCCAAGACACAGAAAGGAGTTGAGGCCGGAGGTGTTGACTTTCACACCAGTGACGCTGAATTTCGGGACTTGTTCTTTTAATTCGCTGGCCTCGACGATGGTCAGATTGCGGGCTCCAGCAGCACTGAGCACCCTACTCTTGATTTTCGGGCACTGATATAGAGAATGTATCTCTTCTATGTCATTTTTCTCCTTCCAAAGTATGCTTTTAGCTTTCGTCCTAAGTCCTCTCTTTCTCGACTTCGTTCAAAGTTCTCACTTTTGGACTGCAGTGTGTCATGCGGCAGTGTGTACTGCAGTGGTGATCAGGGCTTGTCTGCAGGAAGTGTGGAGCTTTTAATCGGCTTTTTGTCAGCTTCTTGTGGTGTTTGTGGTGTTATTCTTTCCTTCGGGTTGTATTTCAAATTATGATGAGTAATAGTCATTGGAGCGTGTTTTGGTGGGTGTTCGCTTGATGTGGGGATGACCGGTTTGTGTTAGTATAGTCAGCTGTAGCGTTTCGTAAGAGTCACACCCTACGTTTCATCAACTATAGTCATTCAGTCTTCAACAGAAGAGCCTTAGGGTTGTAACCATTGTAGCCATCAATTTATATAAAACTGCTTTTTTCGTCTTTGTTCGTACTTGCTTTGCTCTTTCTTTCGTGGTATTGAAGCAATTAATTAATGTAATGAATTTTTAGTGAGATCTGCACTACAATCCATGTTTATTATGTCTTTTGTTGAGATCACGTCTTGTATAGGACGTTTCTTCATTACTATTCAAATCGCAATTTTTGTATGTGATATTTCACCAATTTTTCTACTTGATAAAGGTGTAATGATCAGTAAAATTTGTAAAGCAATCACTTGATACAAAGTGGATAGTTTTAAAGATTGATCATCTTATAAACCATTAATAATCAGCTTACTATATTTTCCCATATAATTACTTTCTTGTCTCGTCTGTTGTTTTTGTAATTTTGTAATTTGTTTTTCTTAATTTATCACAATATCATCATTTTGCTGCTGTGTCCAAAAGCTGATGGCTTCTTCAAGCTCAAGCTTTGCTATTCAAGCCTATTATATACCACCGCCTATTGCCTTAATTATGCAACCATAAGTATCAATATTCAAATACCTCTTATTAAAACCTTAGACCATTATCGTCAACACCAAAGCTAGTCTTACTACTTCAAACATTGTGATTTTTATGATTTGGCAGATTCAAGAGTTTGTTTTAGGCATTCATCTTCATGATAGATTAAAAAAAAATTAATCACTTTTTAAACTCTTAAAACTTTAAAAGACATATGGAACCATATTAAGTAGTTTTATAGAAAAATCTAACAAGATTGAATTTTATATGCTGTTTTGTATGGTGTAATAAAATATGTTTCTTATTCTTTTATATTGGTTTAGCTTATGTATGAGTTTAATAAGTATCAGTGAAAGCTTTTTTATTTTTTAATTAAATATAATATTTTTTAAATACCAAATATATTTAAATTAAAAACAAATACTTTAAGATAAGAAGTAAATATGTTTTCTTTTGTAATTGTTATATTTTTAGTTAGGTTGATATTATTAATATTATTAATATTGTTTTTTAATGATTGTATTTTTTGCTTTTTATAAATGGATAGTATGTAATTGGCTTATTTTGAATTTTCAAATGCATCTCAGAGTATAGATTGGAGTATTATTCTAAAATTATAAATTAAAATCAAACTTTGGCAAATAATGTTATTTAAAAATTTAGATAAAAGTAAGAAGGTGCATAATCCAGAAAATTATGTGAGTTCTTAATTCTTAGTTCTTTGCTTTTGTTTAAAATTATAGATGTAGGCAAAAAAATATATGATTTAAATAAACTAAATAGATTTTAAATCCTATTTTATTTTTTACTATATTTTTTAAGACACTTAAAGAAAGAATACATAATGACTTTTTCTTTTGTAGTATATATATATATATATATATATATATTTTTTCCTTTCTAGTAGTTTAATTGAATATTAAAAGAATTCAATTATACATACTAAGAATTTTTTAAACTTAATTTTTTTTGTTAAGAGAATGAAAGTTTTAAGGGCTTTGATTTTTTTGATGCTCATTTGATAGGTGAAGTTGTGCAAATAGCCAACGTGGCTTTTTTTGGTTGTTAAATTTGTACATGTGAAAAGTCATGACTCTCATAAGACATAGTTGATTGTTGTAAGTTGCCCTACAAGTTGTTTTTTACTTTTTTTATTTTTATTTTATTGTTATCTTTGCATTGAATATATTTATAATCCATTGTATTTTTTTTGGCCTTTATTTTGATATTTCTATTGTAAATCAAATTATAAATAATGAAAAAAATCTGTTCAATACTAATGTTAAAAGGACAGATTAGTATTGGACAGATTTTAATATTACAAGCTCAATTATATATAACATTACTTTAATTTAAACAAAGAAGAGAAGAATAAGATAAAACATTATAGAAAATAATGATTATATAAGTTGTATGGATGGAATATCAATTTAATAGAATAATGGGAATAATAAAGAAAAAAATAGTCTTAATTTAGTCTTATAATACACTTATATTACTTTTATTTAATAATGGCAACAATCCATCTTTAGTAAAACAACCACTTTTTATTTTATCTTATTTGATCTAATCCAAGTATTTGGTTCTTAAGTAGATTTGAAATTTTTGGCTTGTCTTATATTCTTTCATTAAGAACTTAATCCATTAGAGGTATTTGATTCTTAGGTAGGACATATATTTTTTTTATCAATCTTAAATTTCTATGCTTTACCATATGGATCTTAATTCAACTTGAATGTTTAATGTTATATTGTAATATAACTATTAAAAAAAATTTAAAAATAAATTATATTATAGAAGAGCTTAATTGAATATATAGTAAAAATTTATTTTAGATAAAATAGGTAAAAAATATGGTGGTGGTAAAACATTTAGTATTGATGTTCATTTTTTTGTAAAAATAGATTTTATTTACTTTGTAGGGCTATAAAAAAGTTTGAAAAATTTATCTCAAAAAAAATAATATTATATATATCTTTAAATTAAAGTAAAAATAGTTTTTAGCAAAAATTACCTTAGAAAAATCTATAATTGATACTTAGAAAAGACCAATTATGAATTTGAATTGAAACTAGATCCTGTGGCATAAAATTACACGCCTTTTGTAAGTGTGGACTCATTTTGTTGATTAGAAAAGGCATTTGGCAAGAAGAATTGATAAAATTACTTTAGGTATTAATTTTAAGTACTTTGAATGGATACTTATTTTTTTGAAAAATTATCAAAATTATAGTTGTTTTAAATTACCTTTTTTTTGTGGAATAAAAAGGATTTTTATTTTAGAAATTTTGTGAGTATTATAGCAAATTTATGAGTAAAAAATTGTGAATTTGTAAATTTAGTTTTATTGGATGTGTTTTGTAAAATTAAACTTAAATGAAAAATAAAATCAATGATTATTAGAATGGAAGTGAGTTGAGATCTTGATTGGATTTTGACAATTAGTCAGGGTTCCTATAATTCTAAGGAATTTGTTATTTAGATTAAGCTGATTTTTGTGAGCTGATAGTTGACTTTTATTTCAACATTTGTATAAATTTGAAAGCAAGTGGATAGTGAAAATGAGACCTATTAATGCTAAAGAATTGACATCAATGCCAAAGAAAGATAACAACAAGCATCTAAGTAGATTAAGTGTTTTTTCTCCCAATTGGTAATTTTAATTCTTTTCAAATTTTTCATGCTTCTTTTCAACTAGAATATTGAGAATTTTTAAAATTTTAATTAAATACTATACTTAATTTAATAATAGTTGAGGTTTTAAATCCACTATAAGATTAACTTAAGATTCAATTAGGATTTCTTTAGTATTTCTATTAAATTTCTTCATGATTTAATTAAGGTTGTTAAAGATTATTTTAGGTTTATTTGTATTGATTAGAATGTGATAAAATATATCTAGGATTTTTATAAAATTTATAGAGTGTATTTAAGGCAATTAAAAGCTTACCTAAGAAATTCAATATTTTCAAAAAGGTTTTTCTAAACACCTTACTTTATTATTTTGGATTGTAAATTCAACTCACAATAAAATTAAACTCTCCTATAGCTAAATACCTAGTTAATTTCAAGTTTAATTTTTATATAAGATAACATTAGTTCTTAGGTAGATAAATCATTTTTTAATATGCTTTGAATTCCGATATTTTACTATTTATATTTTAAATGGATAGAGTTTTTTTAATCTATCTTAATTTCTATATTTTACTATATGTATCTCAAATAAGTTGGACATTTTTAATCCACTTTGGACTTAAATATGTGACTTGGGTAAAAAGTCTTGAAACAATAATGAATACAAATTTGAATGTCTCTTTAAAAGTAAGAGGATATAGTTGCATAGTAAAAATATATATTTTTTCTTTATAATTATTAACTAGATTATCATCTTTAAATTATTTTTTTATCAAAATATGTGTTGTAACTCATGAATAAGTAACAAATTATGTAAAGGCTTGAAGAAGGTGCAAAACCTAATATAAAGTATATATGGAATTCCAAACTCCATTATATTTTGAACCTTATTTATAGAAATTGAAGATATTTGTATAATACAATTAAATCTAAAGAATTGAGAAATTAGCCTCTAATCTTGATTTTGTATGAATTATGAGTCTTTAAGAAAGTGAATGTGTAGATTACGAGTTTATTTAAAGTCCTTTGTATAATATTGGTTTTTATTGCTTTTAAAGGATTATACTTAACTATAGGTTGGAGTTTTTTTGCTTTCTTAACAACATGTTGAAAAATCTCTAAGTAGATTTGATCTTTTGTTTGTTGTCATAAAGGTGAAAAATTCCTTGTATATTGATTTAAACTTAGAAAATAAAATTTTAACATTGTACCACTTTTGTCTCAATAGACTTGTAATATCCATGTTTTGCTTAAAATTAGTTTAAAGTTAGACATGGTTGATATTTCAAAATGTTGTTTTGTTATATGTAAATTAATCTAAGAATGCATTTAACATCTAGTTGTACAAGGATTTAATCTTACTTTGAATTTCAATTTATGATTTATAAGAATATTGCATAAGGTATTCAAAAACATCTTTTTGATAATTTTAAATAGCTCAACTTTTTTTATTGTATTAAAATTAATTTTAAATAAACCTCAATTTTTTTTCAAAAATCATATAATTTATTTTATAATCTAAAATAATTCATAAAAAACCATAAAATATCTTTAAAAAAATTTAAAAAAATTCTAATAAAATTTAAGCCAATCTAAATAAAATCCTAAATAGAGCCTGATAAAATCTTGATAAAATCCTTATATAATCTTAATCAAACACTAATTGAATCTTAATCAAATCTTATTAAATTCTAAATAATTCTTAAAAAAAATCTCAATCAAATTAAATCATAGGTAAGTTTAAAAATAAAAAAAAGTAAGCAAATCATAATCAAATGCTAATCAATCTTCAAATAAATTCTAACTAAATTCTAATCAAAACATAAGTATATCTTAAAAAAGTCTCGTTAATTCTTAAAAAAACCTTGAAAAATACTAAAAAAATTTAATAAGATT